AGCTGGTTATTCTTAAGAAATAGAAGATATAGATGAAGTTCTGAAAACTTTTGTAAGAGACATTTACAGGTATAAGGGAAATTTACTTTTATAAGGGTGTACTGTAATAGGAAGAGGAGGATGGCCTTATCTCTAGAAACTCTTATCAATGCAGAAGACAATGGTTTGAATCTACATATCAACCTTGCTCTTCTTTACACAGCTTTTCCTGATAATCTCCCTTAAGTGAACTTCCACTCTCAACATTCTTTGTCTTTAACTAAAAATGCTATTCAGGTGAGGGCTTAGTCACTTCAGAGTCACTAAGTTTTCTTGGGTCTCTCCCGTGTATTCAAGAGGTATATATGTTGTTAATTTTTGTTGTTGTTTTTCTCCTATTAATCTGCTTCATTTAACTATTATGCCAGTTAAATAACCTAGAAGGGAAGAAGAAAACATTTTTATTCTTCAACAAAATTAAATGCAATTGGAAAAAAAAGTGTGGTCAATGATTCTAGAATTTTATTATAAAGTCCCCATTATAAGTTCTAAGTAGAAATTCATATGGAATTAATTTATTTAAAACCACATATACATTGATAATTTCCCAACACTGTAGATTCTAGTTCTATTGTGTGAATAACTCCTGAGTTTAATTCAAAAGTAAATTCAGAAAACAGGCACCTGGGAACCCATTCCTCCCTATGTCAGTGGTGAGTAAATACTAGAATAGGAAACAGAGAGAAATGTGGTGAATTTATGAATTTATTAGGAAATTGAATCAATAATCAGGTAGCTTTATTCATATTGATATTTTCTAGATTTTGTATGCCAAACAGCTTAAGTTTCCAAATGACAAACTAGCTTAACCTTACCACTTAAGCACAATGTGAATTTATTTACAAGGAAAGAACTGGATCCTCATAAGACATTCTTTTATGGCATTACATTTTAATCACTAATGCAGTTGGTTTATATTTATTGATGTCCTTTATCTTCTTTAGAAAGTAGACAGAAAGTTAAATATCATCTAAACAAATTAGAGATTAGGAAAGTTCCATTTATCCCTTGTTACGGATGTTGGTCTTTAAAAACAATGTGTGTTTATAAGCATATAAAATAAAATCTTAATTACCCAATTCTGATCAAATATGCCATTGATATTTTGGATTAAAAGAAGGACTTTTGGATTTCCCTTGTGGTCTAGTGGTCAGCAATCTGCCTGCCAATGGAGGGGACTTGGGTTTGGTCTCTGGTCTGGGAAGATCCCACATGCGGTAGGGCAAATAAACCCACATGCCACAACTACTGAAGCCTGCGGTCCATAGAGCCTGCTCTCTGCAACAAGAGAAGCCTGTGCACCACATTAGAGAGTAGCCCCTGCTCACTAATACTGGATAATGCCCACACATAGCATTGAAAACCCATATAGTCATAAATAAATATTTAAAAAACAACAACAACAAAAGACTTTCTATTAGTGTCAAATCTTTTCAATTTGAAAGCTTTCCTGTCATTCTTCTTAATTTGCAGACTGAAGTTCTATTTAAACTTTTATCAATAAAAGTGAATAGGCTCTGAATGAGGGGCAAATTGGCTGTGTCATGATCAAGCACATTATCTTTACTTCAAGAACTTTGGATTTTGTTTGGATAAATGCATAACTACTTATTTATTATTTCCTTCCTGTATGCAGATAGTGTAACTGATTAGGACTCTATGGGGCCTTCCTGGAACAGACCCATCCCTTATATCATTTGCTTTATCTCCTCTCTGAAGTACTCAGATCAAAGTGTCTGATGCATATTTCTGAATTATTTTACAGATGTGAAAATCTCCACCAAAGGTAGGCATTAACTATTTGATGACCATGAGGCCCTAGACTTGCTAGGGACTAAAGATTGACAATGTTAACCCTTGTGTCCCTGCTCTGTTAATTCATAATCAACTAATCAGAGAATTGTGCACAATCTTGTCACACATCCTGCAAATCCCATCCTCACTTAGCTTTTAAAATAAATTTGCTAAAACCCACTGGGGAGTTCAAGTTTTTTGAGCATTAGCTGCCCTGGACTTCTGGTCTGGAACCTTACAATTCATGCTGTACTTTCCTTTACTACAACTCTGTGTCAGTAGATTGACCTTACTGTGCACAGGCAAGTGGACCCAAGATAGGTTTGGTAACAATACTTGAGGCTGTCCTGTGGTTTTAAAAAACATTATTTCAAAATCTGCCAGTAATTAATTCTTTTATTATAGTCTTTTCAGTATTTGAGAACTTTTAAAAAACTTCAGTAGTATGTCAAAAAAAAAAAAAAAAAAGAAAATGCATCCATAGAGATCATCTAATAATGTGGTTTGACATCTTAATTGTGTGATGACATAACTAGAACTAGGCTGTCCTTGACATCTTTGATTTTCCTTCTGGATTATGCAGTGTTCAGATTGCTTCATTGGGAAGCAGTACATTACCAGTAATTCAAACATATTTTGAGCATATGAAAGTGTTTTGAAAAAAATTGAAAATGCATTGTACTTAGAGACTTTGGTAACCCATCTAAATCATGAATCTATCAACATGTCTGGTAATAAACCTATGACATCTGAAGCAAGCACTGATGTTAAAATAGACTATTATTTTCCTGTGAGCCAAAAAACTCACAGAATTTTTTTTAAAGGTATGTATGCTTGTCATATTTTTCTTTCATATCTTTGACCTCCTTAGCAATTTACTAGAACTTAATAATTTTATATTGATGAAGACCTTGCAGACAGCAAAAAAGTATTCTTAATTAAATACTATTATTTTACAGAAAGCATTTCTTCTTGCATTGATAAATGCAAGTTTAAATATAGCAATATAGCATCTGTGACTTAAACATTTATAGCTATTTATTAATTCAATAAATGTTCATTGAGCACTTTTTAGTGCTAAGTATTGAGACAGACACTGGACTTATGGACAAGTAAGACGGACAGACATTTCAAGGATTGTACAACCTCAAGGGACAAACAGGATATGAACCAGGAGATCTAGGCTCCCATCCATCTTTGCCAACAGTCAGCCATGTTGTTTTATCCCCATCCCGTCAATGAGTGTCTTCAAGCTCATTTTAACTCACAAATTGTAGGATTTTTTCCATTAAAATATACGTAGTAAACAAGTCCTTAGAAGTGACCTCAAAGTGCCAGCATGTGGTGTAGCTTGAACATATTTTGTCTTTTATTGTTTTTGGTAATGTTCTGAAAGAATTTTAGTCATATTTTAGAGATGGTTTTACACAATAAATACTGATGCCTGGAAAAGCTTTCAAAACAATTCCAATGGAGGCTTTTCATTCATCTCACCTCACATTCCTGCATCATTTGAACTCTGCTTCCAGGTAATCACTCCTTCCCAGGTTTCTCACATCACTCCCAGTGCTCATCTTTAATAAGAACTATGTCTTCTTCCTCTGCATGTCTTTTAATTCCTGAGGAAATCAGTGATCCTTAGTCATTCTTACCTTGTTCATTTGATAAGTTATTTCTGACTCTGCAACCCCATAGCCTTCAGTACACCAAGAACCTCTCTCCTTCACTATCTCCCAGAGTTTGCTCAAATTCATGTCTATTGAGTCGATTATGTTATTCAACAATCTCCTCCTCTGCCCCGCCCCCTCTACTTTTGCTTTCAGTCTTTCCCAGCGTCAGGGTCTTTTTCAAGGAGTCAGCTCTTCATATCAGGTGACCAAAGTATTGGAGCTTCAGAATCAGTCCTTCTAGGAAATAGTCAGTGTTTATTTCCTTTAGGATTGACTGGTTTGATCTCCCTGCAGTCCAAGGGACTCTCAAGCATCTTCTCCAGCACCACAATTCAAAAGCATCAATTTTTCAGCACTCAGCCTTCTTTATAGTCCAACTCTCACATCTGTACATGAGTACTGGAAAAACCATAGCTTTGAATATATGGACTTCTGTTGCCAAAGTGATGTCTCTGCTTTTCAATATGCTGTTAAGGTTTATCATAGCTTTTCAAGAGCAAATATCTTTTAATTTCAAGGATATAGTAACTATCTGCAGTGATTTTGGAGCCCAAGAAAATAAAATCTGTCACTGCTTTCACTTTTCCCCCTTCTATTTGCTGTGAAATGATCTGACTGGATGCTATGATCTTAGTTTTTTTGAATATTGAGTTTTAAGCTAGCTTTTTCACTTTCTTCTTTCACTCTCATCAAGAGTCTCCTTAGTTCCTCTTCACTTTCTGCCATTAGGGTCGTATCATCTGCATATCTAAGGTTACTGATATTTCTCCTGAGAATCTTGATTCCAGACTGTGACTCATCCAGTCCAGCATTTTGCATGATGTACTCTGCATATAAGTTAAAAAAACAGGGTGACAGCAGTCCGGCCACCAGGAAACGGGAAAGATGGCGACTACTCCGTGACGTTGAGGCCACGTTGGGCGGTTTGGGCTCAAGAGTGATGGCAGGAAAGCTGGCTGATAAGAACAACCGTGATGCATCACCTTCCGAGGAAAGGAAGCGATCTCGGACTCTTGACAGAGACCGCGATAGAGACTGAGACCAGAAGTCTTCCCCATCTAAAAGACAGGAAAAGGCATCATTCAAGGGATAGGCATAGAGGAATCAGCCGTTCTCGCTCCCGTTCCCGATCCAAGTCTACGGAAAGAGATCGTAGGCACAAAGAGAGAGAGAGCGAGATAAGGAAGGAGATCGGAATAAGAAAGACCGAGACCGGGATGAGGATGGGCACCGAAGGGACAAGGACCTCAAGCGATCCAGTTTATCTCTTGGCCGAGGAAAAGATTTTAAATCTCAGAAAGACAGCGACTCTAGAAGGGATAAGAGGATGAACATGGTGATAAGAAGCCTAAGGCCCAGCCACTATCCCTGGAATAACTTCTGGCCAAGAAAAAGGCCGAGGAGGAAGCCGAGGCCAAGCCCAAGTTCCTCTCCAAAGCAGAACCAGAGGCTGAAGCCCTGAAGTGATGGCAACAGGAGGTGGAGGAGCGGCAGAGGATGCTTGAAGAAGAGAGGAAGAAAAGGAAGCAGTTCCAAGACTTGGGCAGGAAAATGTTGGAAGACCCTCAGGAATGGGAACGTCGGGAGCGCAAGGAGAGGATGGAGAGGGAGACCAATGGGAATGAGCATGAGAAAGGGCGGCAGAAGATCCGGGAGGAGAAGGATAAGAGCAAGGAGCTGCACGCCATTAAGGAGTGTTACCTCGGTGGCATCAAGAAGCGGCGCCGGACAAGGCACCTCAACGACTTTGTCTTTGAGTGGGATGCATCTGAGGACACTTCCATCGACTACAACTCCTTGTACAAAGAACGGCACCAGGTATAGTTGTTGGGACGAGGCTTCATTGGCAGGCACTGACCTGAAGCAGCAGAAACGAGAGCAGTCGCGTTTCTATGGAGAGCTAATGAAGAAGAGGCGGACGCTGGAAGAAAAGGATCAGGAGGGGGCAAGACTCCTCAAACTTCGAAAGAAGGGAGCCAAGCAATGCTGGGATGATTGGCATTGGTCCCAGAAAAAGTTGGATGAGATGATGGACAGGGACTGGCGGATCTTCCGCAGGTGGCAGGATCCCCAATCCCATCTGATCCTGGAAAACTCTTCTCTGCCTCCACACGTCTTGGAGGTCATCGATAAGTGTGACTACAAGAACCAACACCTATCCAGAGTCAGGCAATCCCCACTGGGCTACAGAATCGTGACATCATTGGAGTAGCTGAGACTGGCAGCAGCAAGACAGCAGCCTTCCTCATCCCATTGCTGGTCTGGATTACCACTCTCCCCCAAATTGACAGGATCGAAGAGTCCGACCAGAGCCCTTACGCTATCATCCTGGCCGCCACTCGTGAGCTGGCGCACAGATTGAGGAAGAGACCATCAAGTTTGGGAAGCCACTGGGCATCCGCACCGTGGCCATCACTGGCGGCATCTCCAGGGAAGACTAGGGCCTCCGGCTGTGCATGGGCTGTGAGATAGTGATCGCTATCCCAGGACGTCTGATCGATGTGCTAGAGAACCGCTACCTGGTGCTGAGTCGCTGTACCTATGTGGTTCTGGGCGAGGCAGACAGGATGATTGACATGGGCTTTGAGCCAGACGTCCAGAAGATCCTGGAGCACATGCCTGTCAGCAATCAGAAGCCAGACACAGATGAAGCCGAGGATCCTGAGAAGATGCTGGCCAACTTTGAGTCAGGAAAACACAAGTACCACCAAACAGTCATGTTCACGGCCACCATGCCCCCAGCGGTAGGGCATCTGGCCCGGAACTATTTTCGGCGACCTGCTATGGTATACATTGGTTCTGCAGGCAAGCCCCATGAATGTGTGGAACAGAAAGTCTTCCTCATGTCAGAGTCTGGAAAGAGGAAAAAGCTGCTGGCAATCTTGTAGCAAGGCTTTGATCCACCCATCATCATTTTTGTCAACCAGAGGAAGGGCTGTGATGTTTTGGCCAAATCCCTGGAGAAGATGGGGTACAACACTTGTACGCTGCACGGTGAAAAAGGCCAGGAGTAAAGAGAGTTTGCACTATCCAACCTCAAGGCTGGGGTCAAGGATATTTTGGTGGCTACAGATGTGGCGGGTTGTGGTATCTACATCCAAGATGTATCTATGGTCGTCAACTATGACATGGCCAAGAACATTGAGGATTACATCCACCGTATTGGCTGCACAGGATGAGCAGGCAAGAGTGGTGTGGCCATCACCTTCCTCACCAAAGAGGACTCTGCTGTGTTCTATGAGCTGAAGCAAGTCATTCTGGAGAGCCCAGTGTCCTCCTGCCTGCCAGAGCTAGCCAACCATCCTGACGCCCAGCACAAACCAGGCACCATCCTCATCAAGAAGTGCCGGGAAGAGACCATCTTTGCCTGACACAGCACTCACCCTGGGGTTCAGGGCCATGCTCTGGAGCCTGTTCTTCAGAACCCTCACATCTCTTCCCAGGTCCTCACTCTTCCAGGGGCTTAGGAAGAAATCAGACTCCCTGGCCCAGGCCCTCAGGTCTGAAGGCCTGAGTGCACATCTGTCAAAGGGGAGGAAGCTGCTCCAGGAGGCAGGGAGAACAAACTACCAGAGTTTTGGCCCAGCTCTGCCCCTCAGGTAGGCTTTGGGATTGCATCCATCCATCAGCTCTTGCCAGTTAAAGGGGCAGCCAATTGGCATTGCCTCCCAGACTGAACAAAAACCTGGCTGCTGGGCTGGGACTTCTTTGGCACAGACTTGACTGCCTAAGCTACGGCACCATTGTTGCCCTAGATGACCCAGGGAATCGGGTACTGAGGATTATGGACCTTGGACTCGTACCGTCATTTTGACAGCTGTTTGCCCTTTTGGATTATAAAACAAGTCAAGAGCCTTGCTTAGAGTTGTGCATGGCCCCTGTGCCAAGGAGTGCTGTGCACTCGAGGCATCCCTCACTCAGGGAATTTTTATAGTAGATGAGCGGACAGGGTGAGCTGGCTGAGTCCATCATGAAGTCAGTGAAATTTCTGTTTTCTATTCTCTGAGAAGATGAGTTTCTATGTTCTGAGAATAAACACACAAATATTAAAAACAAAACAAAACAAAACAGGGTGACAATAGACAGTCTTGTGACACTCCTTTTCCTATTTAGAACCTGTCAGTTGTTTCATGTTACTTTAGTTCCCACCAATTACTCTATCAAGAAATGACTTCCACTGGAGTGAAACTTTAATTTTCACTTTTTGCAATTAACATTTTTGCACAGTGGCCACTCAGAACACATTTATGTCATATTGATTAAAATTTGACCCCAGTTTTAATATTTTGACAATAGTTTGTCAAGATAATAGGTAGTTGAGATTTTGAAAAGAGACCTAAAATTTAGAAATTTCTCTTTTTCTATGTGTTTTATTTGGGGTTTAGAAAAAAGCAGAGTTTGAAGCATAGATTCATATGCTACTAATTTTAAAGAAATGCGATCCCAGGCAACACCAGTTCAGGACTATGAGAGTGAAATCAGATAGGAGGAAAAGATAATGTGAGGATGCTTTATCAAACTAGCTAAAGCAATGTGACTGAAATCTCATAGAATTGTCTTCTGGATAACCACAGAAACTTCATCTTAGAGTATTCATCTGTGGGGCCAGAGGCAGGGGTGGGGGGAGGGGCGGGTGGCATTGGCGAAACGTTGGGGAAATTAATGGAAGAGTCTTGTTCAGACTTCAGAGGCAACAACAGACCTTTGGACAGAGACCCTGACAGGAGTTACAAGCCAAGCTTCTGACCAGCAGAAATGTAGGTCTTGGGAACCAACAGATAATCAAGGGAATAAGTCAAAGGAAGAGAGTAAGTCATGAAGCTTCCTGGCCTTTGGGAATCTGGCCAGTTCTGAGGGATCAGCAAACACTCTGAGACTTACAACTAACGGTACAATTTTTTAACATAATAACCAGAGCTGCATCTTTGCATGTAAGCTGATGATTGGCAGCTGGTGTCTTGGCAATAAAAGCCAGACTCCTCTGGATGTCACTCTCAGGTCTCACCTGTGGGGTGGACACATTACCTGGGACCTCCCTATTGGGAACTCCAGATTGCTGTTCAAGGGGCCTTCCAGCATTGCTTGAATCTGGGTGTAAGTGTTTCCCCAATTTGGTAATGTGTATTTCATTTCTTGTTATATTGCCTGTGTATCTTTTAATTGGAGACTCCAATTTGGATCTAAATGTAAGTTTCTCCACATTTTGATGATATATACATTTGTTTCTTGCTAAACTACTTGTGTAGAACTGTTCCCCCAATTTGGTGATTATATATATGTATATATATATACATATATATATAATCTCTTATTATATTACTTGTCCTCTTACTGCAACTTACTATTAATATAATAAATTTCCTTATTTCTTACTGACTAGAATGTAGAATGGTTATCTTGCCAGTGAGTCCTCCTAACTTGAAACCAAAAGTAAATCTTATAGCAGTCCATAAATCTTTTGGCAGAAGAGGCTGGAGATAGTTACCCACTGCTTCCCTTTTTCACTAGTCAAAAGAGTCTGTGAAGGACTGTTAAGTCCATCACACTTCTGAGTTTCATGTGCACATGTGCTACACACCCCATACTTTGGAGTCAGCAAAGCAGCCCTTGGGCAGGGAAAACAGGTGGGCAGCTGGGGCACAAGGTGAATGGCTGTCATGTTGTACCTCAGGAAGTCTACTGGAGGCTACATGGACCTGGTTGACTCCATACTAGTTGAAACGAAGGATTCCAAGGGCATCTTCAGTGACATGGAATGAATGTCTGATCAAACATGCAACATACATGTCTGCTAGGAGACCGAGTCTTCAACAGCAAAAATCTAGGAGGTACCAAAATCTAGATCTATATTATTATAACTTAGTTCTGCCATATCCAGCACAAAATAGGAAGGGAGGGAGGGTGGAAGAGAGGAAGAGGCAGAGAGTGGGAAAGACAGAGTGGTAGAGGAAGAGATTTAATCCTCATTTCCTAACCTGCTCTCTCAGCTTTTCTAATTCCTCTTTAGAGGTAATTACCCACTCTCAGCAATGTAGTATATTCCCGTAAAGGGTATTTTTCACTCTATCACACATAGATTTCTTGCATGCGTGTACACAAACACACAAGTGGATTTTACAAAAATAGAATCATGGTGTATGTATTGGTCAGAATTTTGCTGTTTTCTTCAGAGGTTTATTTTGACCCTTTCATTATTACTTGAATAAACCCTAGCAGGAGGGGTAGTGAATGAAACAACCAGATATAGAAAGCCTGCTGAGGGATTCTGGGTAAGGGTAGGACTTCCCCTCTCCTACCCAAGTTGCTATTTTCCAAGAGGTTTTGCCTCTATATCAAAATTAATTTCATCTTCTGAAGTTTCTATGAAGATTGTCAATCAATATAGGCATGTCCCAAATTCAAAGATCACTGCCCATTCACTGCTGTAGGTATTTCACAGATCAGTGCTTATTCTCTTAGTTTTGTTGATCCAAACAGGCAGAATGTGTGAAGGAGACAACCAATTTCATGGAAAAGATGTGCAATTGATCAGGCTGCTTACACCCAGGGATAAGATGTCTCATGCAAAAGAATCACAACATGTTTGGTGGTGATGACACTGTTACCTGTCTCTACACTTACATTATCAAAAGCTCCCTGCTCCAGCAGAGATCTCAAGAGATAGTTACAACCATTTGTACTCTGTCCAAAATTTATTTTCATCATCTGTTCACATCGTCTATTTCTGCATAGCAAATTCCCAAAACTTAGTAGAGTAAACAACAACCATTTTATTTTGCTTCTATATTTTGTAGGTCAGGAATTTAGACAGCATGCTGTGCAGATTGCTTGTATCTAATCTGAGCTTCCAGGGATCTCAGAAGACTCGAAGAGCCAGGATCTAGTGTCATTTGCAGGTTCCGTCTCAAATGAAGTGTGGCATCAGTGCTGGAATGATGTACAGACTGAGCTCAGGATTATCAATGCTTCATGTGGCCTTTCAGGGAGAATGGGATCTCAGGATGAGTTGGGAGTCCCAAGGGGGGTGCATTTGAGAGGAAGAAGAGTGAGTGCTCCAACAGACCAAGGCAGAAGGGGTCCCAAGGTTCTGATCTGGGCCTCAGAGTTCATGCATCATCTCACTTGGTGTGTTCTATTTGTTACAGGTAAGTGACAAAGACCAGCCTAGATATCAGGGGAGCATTATTACACCCCTATCTTTGATGGGGGATGAAAAAGTCTCATAGCTTGAGTACATGCAGTGTGAGATGCTATTGAGGTCATATTGAAAAGTATAATCTATCCGCACCATCCCATAATAATCCACACTCAGTAAATATGGGAAATCACTACTGAATAATATCATATTCTTAAAGATCTAGAAATTAAAGTGATTTGCTTAAAGTTATATAAAGGTCAGGCCCTAGCTAAATAAACAATTGACTTACACTATATCTGTAATACTGTCCCATTCATCAAATCAGAACATACACTTTTTTCACTAAACACTGGTGGAATAATAAGGTTATTTAGTGACCAATATACTTGACCTAGTAATGTCATTTCATGAGTAATGAAATTTCTTTCTCTAACCCTGCAATTAATTTGTGTGTGTGTGTGTGTGTGTGACCTTGAACAAGTCTCTCCCATCTTGAAGCTCCTGCAGCTGCATTTAATATGCATCTACCCCAAGATGCATTATGAGAGTAAATGTCCTATCATTAAAGCTTTTTAAGAAAATAAAAAAAAAATTTAAATAAAGCTTTTTAAATGTCTATCTAGTAATGATGACAGTGGTGATGGTGACCAATGATTCTTGTATAAAAATGATTGCAACACTTCTCTTAGAATGTTTTTTTTGTGCATGTCCTAATTTTCTCTCCACATTTATCAAAGGTGCCAAAAAATT